AATTTTTCTTTAACAGGTTGGTTAACAGTGCTGCCAACAATCCATAGTTCTGAACAAATTTGCGGTAGTAACCCGTTAATCCAAGGAATCCGCGCAAGGCCTTGGWTGATTGAGGTTTRGGCCATTCTTTGATAGCCTGAATCTTGGAACCATCAACTGTCACACCCTGCCCATGGATAACGTGGCCGAGATAAAGAACCTGTCGCTCCCCGAAGGAACACTTGGACCTTTTGAGGAATAATTTGTGTTGGCGCAGGAGCTTGAAAACTGATCGCATATGATACACATGCTTTACCCATGATTTGCTATAAACGAGGATATCGTCAAAGAAAACTAAAACAAATTTGCGCAGATGGGGCTGAAATACCTCGTTCATTAATGACTGAAATGTGGATGGGGCATTGGAGAGGCCGAATGGCATGACCAAAAATTCGAAGTGGCCATGGTGGGTGCGGAAGGCAGTCTTCTTCACGTCGCCGGAAGCCATGCGAACCTGGAAATACCCTGATTTGAGGTCCAACATAGAGAAATACTGCGCACCATGCAATTCGTCCAGCAGTTCGTCCACAACGGGAATAGGGAACTTATCCTTGATCGTCCGGTCATTGAATTCTCTATAGTCAACACAGAACCTCCACGTTCCATCCTGCTTTGCCACCAATAGRACYRSCKAAGAGAAGGGGGAGTGACTTTTGCGTATGATTCCTTGTTGCAGCATCGCTGTACACTGTCTTTCTATCTCATCCTTCTGTAGGTGAGGGTAGCGATAAGGCCGAACAACGACTGGCGCTGACCCTGCCACTAAAGGGATGCGATGGTCGCAARCTCGGGGAGGAGGGAGTCCCTTGGGTTCCTGGAATAAATCTGAAAACTCGGCGAGGAGTTTTTCCATAGTTGCCGGTTCTGTTTGAAGAGTATGGACCTGTGGTCTCTTTTCTTTAACCTTGCAACCGTTCCATGAAACTTGTTTCCCATTTAAGTGAAATGTCATTGTGAGTGCACTGAAGTCCCATAAAATCGGCCCTAAGGTGATTAACCACTGGACCCCAAGAACAATATTGAACCCATCCAATGAGAGTACAAATAAATCAACAAGTAGTTCAGAATTGACCTGTATCGGGACGTCCTTACAAATCCCTGGACTGTGAACCTTCTCACCATTTGCGATGGCTACCTGTAGCTGTGGCCGGAGTTCCATTGGTAGTTTTAATTGCAGGGCGGCATGTTCACTTATGAAGTTGTGTGTGCTCCCTGAATCGATGAGAATGCGCACCGACTGACCTGCGATCTGTGCCTGTAACTGCATGGTCTGAGAGGTTTTAATGCCAATGATCGCATGGAGAGATCTCTGGCTCGAATGTGGTGGGATCCCCTTCCTCCTCCTCTTGCTCATCGATGAGAAGGCAAAAAAGTCTCTTGCATCTATGTCCTGTCGAGTAGAGGTCATCACAGTTGAAACATTGACCTCTCGCTCGACGTACTGCCATTTCTGCTCTGGTCAAACGCTTGATGGGAGGAGTGGCCATGTTACTGCCTGTACTTGTCACTGCTCTAGAGGTGGTGGTCGTTGCTGCTGATCTTGGGGGCACCCACGAGTTCGGTGGACGACCCACATTGAAAATTCCGCGGCTGAGCTGCAGCTTGCGCTCAAATGCACGGGCTAAGTTCATGGCTGCGACCAAATTTGGGGGATTCTGCATTTCAACATCCACTCGCAGGGGTTCTGCTAGTCCCGCTGTGAACATATCCACTTGCTGGTCGGGTCGCACGGATGATGCCCTTGCGAGGAGGGTTTGGAACTGTCGCTGGTATTCAGCMACTRTTCCGGTCTGTTTAAGGTTAATTAGCTCGCCCAGCGGGTTGCTGGTCAGTGGGGGTCCGAACCGGAGAAGGCAATAGGATTTAAACTGGGACCAACTGAGCCCGGGTTCTTCTTGCTCTAACCGATAAAACCAAAGTTGTGCTTCTTCTGTTAAAAGAAAGGCGGCTAAGTTTACCTTATCCCGATCATCTGTCTGTTGATTCCGGAAGAGCTGCTCGCATCGATACAGCCAGCCTAAGGGGTCTCCGTTGCCGTTGTACGACGGGAACTCCATCCTGCTGTACTTGGGGACGACGGCTGCTCCATTCCTAACGGACTGTGTTCGCCGGAAGACTCCGGCAGATCTGGTCGGCGGTCGTTAGCGGCTGTCCCTCCTTCAGAGTTCCTTTCCCTGTTGGAAAGGAACGCCTCCATCAGACGTCGCAGTTCCCTCACTTCGCCTTTGATCTCATGAACTTCGGAGCTGGTCTCCACGAGTTGGTGCTCGAGGTCGTGGAATGGTAGCTGTTCCAGATCTCCCATGACGCTTTGCTCTGATACCAAGTTGTTGAGGGCCCGAGAATAGGATCTCGTCACGGGTCGGTCCACGGGGAAAACCTCCTGTTTTCCCTTGTTCCTTCCTGTTCGTGATGAACCTATC